CCTAATAATTGATGGGGCACCTCTGAAATGACCATAAAGGCGTGACTCCACTGTCCCGATCTTTGCCGTGTAGTCCATCGGTAGGCTTGGTTCCAGTTGCCCCCTGCACCCAGCTAGTCTTGTTTGACAGTTTTCCGTGGTTCTCAGTAATCGCTGAATGTTCTGCCCCCCTGTCTACCAGGAAATTGACGGTGGTTCCCCTCCACTAGTAAAGTTACCCTGGGCTCGGGGAGGGGAACCGAACCCTGCCCCCCCCATTCATCCCCTATTTGCCCCACCACCATAAGCTTCTCGGAGGATTCAGCTCTACATCCCCCTTCCTCTTGGGGGCAGTTCCTAGGCCCAGTGTCCGTGCTCCTTGCAATTGACACACTGATCCTGCCTAGCCTTCCCTACCAAAGCTTTGCAGTTATAATTAATAATGAGAACCCATATCTGCCATATAAACTTACATGGGAAATAACAAACTTAGAAACCCATGAGATATACCATAGCACCTCAAGGGCAGAGCCACTAAACACCTGGTGGCCAGATTTATATTTCAACTTAGAAAAAGTCAGTCCCCTAGAAAAGCCAGCACAGACAGTACTAATATCCTCGGGAGGCCCCGCTGCTGCCCCAATCCCTAGTTCTTGGGTAACTGGACCACGGAGGGAAGATGTGGAATGGACCTCTATAAGCCAGAATGCATTTTACACCTGTCCGAGATTCCAGCCCCCTCAGAAAAACCATCAGTGTGGGGGTATTGGAGGCTATTATTGTGCCAAATGGTGGTGTGTGACCACAAATGATGGGGCATGGAAATGGCAGGTACAACCTCTTTTCACTAAAATATCCTATGTCCAACCTAGGTACTAGAGACAGGCCTAATCCCCTGCCTAAGCCTATCAGTTTTCAATGAGTCTGAATAATACTGCATTATGGTACTAGTGTTCTCTAAGGTCATCTATCATCAAGAAGACACTGTCTATGCTGCTTGGACCAGAGAAGGAAAGGACTCCAACTTAATTGTAAAAAAAAAAAAAAATAAAAAAAAAAGGGAGCCTTTCACAGCAATAACCTTAGCTACTGTTTTTGGTCTGGGAGCAAGAGGAGCAGGGACAGGCATCTCATCCTTGGCAGTGCAGCATAGGGGGTTCAATAGCTTAACGGCCGCCATAGACAAACACATAGCCAGAATTGAGAAATCCATCTCCCATTTAGAAAAATCCCTAACTTCACTGTCTGAAGTAGTGCTGCAGAACCAGAGGGGGCTGGACTTAGTATTCCTCCACCAGGGGGGCTATGTGCGGCCCTAGGAGAAGAGTGCTGCTTCTATGCAGACCATACTGGGGTAGTTAGAGAGCCTATGGCAAAGGCCGGGGAGGGACTTGCCCTAAGAAAATGACAGCGCGAGAAACAACAAGGATGGTTTGAGTCATGGTTCAACAGTTCCCTGTGGTTAACTACCCTGCTATCTGCCTTGTTGGGACCTATAATAGTGCTCATGCTCATCCTCACCTTTGGGCCATGTATTCTGAACAGGTTAGTCACTTTCATAAAGGAACGAATAAATACTGTGCAGTTAATGGTACTGCAGCAGCAATACCAAAGGGTTAGTCTTAAAGAAAACAGTTTAGGAATAGCAGAGATACAAGACTCTGGATACGAGCAAGAATGCTTGTAAGAACCAAGAGAAAGGGGGGAATGTAAGATACTGGGCTATAAGGACAATGGACACCTTCCACCTTCTGTTTACTGCTTGTTTGCTAACCACAAGGCATTATGAGTACATTATGGGATGCAGAGGAAAAAGACAAAGAATGCGGAAACCAGAGTCTCTCAGCTAGGACCCGGAACAGGTTAGAGCCTATCAGGAGCAGGATGAAGTAAGAATCACTGTGGGGGTGGATGCATGATCAGTGTGTAAACAACTTAGCTATAAAAGGGTCACTAGCACACAAAGGGGGGGTCCCTGCCTAAAGAAGAGGCCACTGCACTGGCACTCTGGGGGCTTGGACCCTAACTCAAGCTAGACAATAAAACTCCTTTTGATAATTACAACCTTGGTGACTCTGTCTCTCTGTCCTGCAGCCCTGCGAATCTTAAATATAACAGTAAGATGTTATGAACAGTTCAAAGAACATCTGAGAAGCTAGAATGTTTACCGTCAAGGGTAGGATAAAATTGCTCCCTTAGTCAAAACTGGCTAATATCAAACAGTGTGTCAACAACAAAGAACCCAAACTCTGTAAAATAGTTTAAAGAGGTTTATCCTGAGCCATATGTGAGAACATGCCCCAGAGAGCCACATCCAAGAAGCCTTGAGCAAGTGGTCCCCCTGCGGTTGGGTTACAGTTTGGTTTTAAAAATTTCAGGGAGATAGGAATCACACATAAAGTCATGAATCAATACATAGAAGGTAAATATTGGTTTGGCCTGAAAAAGCGAGACATCTTGTAGCAGGGGATTACAGGATACAGGTGAGTTTAAAGATTCTTTAATTTGTAATTGGTTAAAGAAATGAAGCTTTGTCAAAAGGCTTAGAATGTTTTAAGTCGAGATAAGGAAATCTGTTAATCAGAAACAAGTCACCAGACATATATTCCAATCTGTTAAGTAAATTGAAGACCTAACGGTGTGGTATTACCTTAGTTTTGCACAGCTTTCAGCCTGTTAGTTGGGAAAGCTATCTCCAAGAAAGGAGGAGACATGACGAGACAGGTCTGATCTCCCTTCTCATGGCCAACAATTCAGCTTTTAGAATATTTTTGGGGTACTGTTGGCCAAGAGGGTGTCCATTCAGTCAGCTAGGGGACTCAAGATTTTATTTTAGTTCACAAGTGTCATACATCTCTGGTATTATCTGTTACACTGAATGAAAATTATTTGCAATTCTAACATACAAAAGTCTACAAGTTTACAGTTAACCAAACTAAGTCTATAGTCTTTAATGAATAGCAAACAGTAAATTTAAGTACATTCTCTAGATAATGCTTTGGTGGCTTTTGAGTCACCAGGACATTGAAGAATGTACTACATTTCTTGTCTTGTTTCCAAATTTTGGATATTTTTTTCTGACTTACTAATTTCAAATTATGAATTGTCTACTTACATTTCATAAAGCATTTTATCTCCTCATATGAACAATTTTATTCAAATCAATATCTTTATGATCATTAAGACACATTTTGGGCTGTAAAACACATTTCTTTAAATCATATCATTTTTGCTCCTAATTTTGTATTCATTTCAGAGCATTTTGAATTCTTATTTCTTTTTCCCCAAGCAGAAAATTCCAACTTTTAATTTGTGATCTCCAAAACTTAACCATTTATTTTATTACCTTAAGTAATCCAGAAAAAGTTTCTTTGCAGCACTAACACTTGAATTTGTGAAGTCATAGTCATAGGAATAAATCAATCTATATTAAATTTCTTTGCTCTTCTCAATTTTTGTAATGACTTTCTTGGATTTTCTCTATAATCATGCAAAATTAGCATTGATCAAAGACATTTTAGGCTAATGTGAAGTCTCAATAATCTTTGTTGCAACAATAAGGTAATTGAGATATTGTCCCGATAAACATGAAAAAAATATATAGGAATCAAAATAAAAAACAATTCTCAAGTTTTATAAAAGTTAATTTTGGAACAAAAAAATCATTTCCTTTTTTTGGGCATTTGTTACATTTTTTCCTCTAATATTTTTTTGGCAGAATTATTACCTGCACCCCTTTTCCCTCAAGAAAAACAGGGACATTTTTGATGCCTTCAAAAATAATTCTAAACTTCATTTATGGGTTTTACTGATACCTGAATTATATTTTATCTTTAGAACTAGTGTTAATTTTTAACCCTTTGTATACTGTTTAATCACTTTCTTTTCAACAGATACTTTCAAACTATCTATTTGCATGCTCATTGAGGGTTTATATCTTATATTTTTGAGGGTTATGTCTATGTCCAACATTTTAACACAGTAGTGAAAAATTTAGTAATACATATTCAAATATCATATTTATCAGGATCAATGTTTACAAAGAGATCCTAAAATTAATCAGCATATGTCCTAGTTTCAAAAATAGATATCTGAGCCGGGCGGCACTCTGGGAGGCTGAGGCGGGCGGATTGCTCAAGGTCAGGAGTTCGAAACCAGCCTGAGCAAGAGTGAGACCCCGTCTCTACTATAAATAGAAAGAAATTAATTGGCCAACTAATATATATATAAAAAAAAAATTAGCTGGGCATGGTGGCGCATGCCTGTAGTCCCAGCTACTTGGGAGGCTGAGGCAGTAGGATCGCTTGAGCCCAGGAGTTTGAGGTTGCTGTGAGCTAGGCTGACGCCATGGCACTCACTCTAGCCTGGGCAACAAGCGAGACTCTGTCTCAAAAAAAAAAAATAGATATCTGGTCAGTTTATCCTAATCTTAAAGAAGATGTTGATGTTTTATATTGTATGGAAATACCTATGGACTGTTAATCATGGTGATAGTGAATACTACATCTAAATCTACACAGAGAGTAAGATAATGTAAATTTCAGCGTGCATACAATTTTGAATGGTAATAATGAATAAGAAGATTTGGAGAGTACCCCTGGACTAGCTTTTACAGCATGATTTCTTATTATTTATTACTCCTTTTCAGTTAATGGATTTGAAAGATGACAGTCTTAGGTAGATAGTGAGGAAAATCCAGCCTTCCTAGGGGACAAAAGCTGGTGTGCAGCCTTTGTGCTGTCTCAAGCAGTTGCCCCACCTGGGGAAGAAGGACAAGGACAGGCAGCCCTTCTTGATGCTGCCCCACCTTAATCCTGCCCCTGAGCAACTGCCACACCTGGGGAACTAGGAACTTCCTGCTAATCTGCAAAAGAATGCAGGGAATTCTCCAACCCTTGGGCCTGGCAGCCTAGGTACAACAGGATCTGGAAAGTAACCTAGAGTAACCTAAGGCTAATTATCATGTCATTAACCATCCATCAGAGTGATTCCATGGTGACATCTGAACCATGAGGGGGGCTCAATCCGGACAGTATAAAACAGGACACCAGACCATAACCAGAGCTTCTTGTTATGACAGGGGTCCCATTCACCATCTGTGGTGAGTGGATCTTGCTCTTGCTCTATAAACCTATCTTATTCTTCCTCATTAAACCTCATTTCTGTGCTTACCTTGCTTTCAGTGTGTCTGGTCATTCTTAGCCAAGAACATACCAAGAACTAAAAACAAGACTTCCCACCTGACAATAAGACCAAATTTTTAAATACATACTACCATTGGTAGTTCTAATGGAAAAGACAACTAGCTAATAATACACAATTTATACCAGGGGTCAGAATATACTTAATAGGCTTACAATAGTCTATTTTAACTTATTTACAGTTAGAGTTATCCTTCATTTCTGCTATTTGCTAAAGCTTATGAACTATAAACTTTTAATAAAATTATAAAAGGAAGTAGACTTTTCTGTAGATCATTAAATCTACTTCATTTTACTTACAGGCAGCATTTAAATGCACTGTGTCCTCAGTAGTACCCTTACTAGTTTTAGGTGACAAACTGATAACCTAACAACCGTTGGTTTATCTTATAACTTTCTCTTTTTGTCTTGGATTTATATATCCAAGACAATGAAACTTTGCAAATGAAACTAGCCATATACTTACTACTAGTTTACAAAGCCCCATTATTACTTTGTGTTTTTTCATCTGAAAAACAACCAAGCACAACCAAGCACAACAACCAAGCACATTCACTTGTTAATATGGTCTCAAGAACATAAATGAATTTAAATGGTCAAGTAATCATTACAAAACAAAAACTTCCTTTTGTTCTAACTTAGCTCCCTATCTTATATTAGGCTTATTAATCAAATATCTAAGGCACTAAACAGGGACAGTCTTTAAGATATGTTTATTTCTTCCTCTGATCCATTAAAACCCAAACACCAAAGAAATATTTAGATTCTGTAGAGTAATGTGAACATTAATGTGCCCCCAATTAAGAGTTTGATTAGTACCTATTATAGCACTGACTCTAAAAATGGGGCCTAAAATCATTTGGGAATTCAAAGAGAACTGAATTATTTTTGTTCCCCTAAAACTGCAGTCCTCCAATCCCCAGGCTGTTAGGGAGAGGGTCTCAGAGCTCTGCCACCATACCCCCCCAATCCATGGAAAGATTTTCTTCTATGAAACTTAGGAAGTAGAGGGGCTGCACAGCAAGAGATGAGTGGTGAGTGAATAAGGGAAGCTTTGGCTTAGCTGTTCACCATCACTCACATCACTGCCTGAGCTCCCCAAACTCTTTGTGGAGAAATTGTCTTCCATGAAACCACTCCTTCGTGCCAAAAAGGTTGGAGAATGCTGCCCTAGAACAGGCTTTTGTCTCTGTGTTTACAACAATGCCTCCCTCTCTTTGAGGCTTGAGAATATGTCAATGGTATGTCTTTCAAAATTGTTCTCCTTCTTAATGGAAAGATCAACCTATGGTAAATTTCTGAGTTTGAGTGATTTTCATTTAATTTTTTTAAAAAATTTCTTCACATTTTCTTAAGGGAATATGTGACATGTCTAAGATATTTCAATACTCTAGCATGGAATAACAAGAAAAAGCTACAGGGATAAAGAACCCTTGGAGAAAAAGCAGAAAGAAACATTTTCCCCAAAGGAAGAAAAATTGGAATAATCTCACAATTTTATATAAGTGTGAAAACAACAATGTGATTAATTTCATACTTAAGGATAATTGGGGAAACATTTTTGAATATAAATATATTCAGTAAAACCTGAAAATAATGGGAATGGGTAAAACAGATTACTGAGTTTTCTTTCACAGGAATGCTGGGTGCCTGGGTACTATCTGACACTACAGGGCTGTGTACCTTTGAATGCATTTGGCTGAGCTATTGGTGGAAGTTAACTTGCAGAAACTGAGAGTAATACAAATTCTTCATGGTCATAGCAATGAAATGGTTCTTATTCATGCTAATGCAAATGAATTTTAACTGGTAGAGGATGTAAATTCTCTGTGATTCAAATCTTTACTGATTTTAAACTCTTACTGGTTCTTTTATTAATTAATGAGTTATATGCTCATTTTACATTTATATGAGAATAATGGTTTTAACTTCTTGAAAATTCTACTTTTGCTAATTAATTACACAAATTACGTGTGTAGAAAATAGATTAAAAATTAAGAAAAAAATCTGTTCAGCTTCTAGTGTGAAAAAAGTTACTACTTACCAGATCCTATAACAATAGGCAGTCTAAGTCATAATCATAAACAGATTATGTTTAAGAAGTTGTGGCTCTACTGAACCAAGCTGTGTTATATTTTAATGTAAGTGATTATCTATGTTGGAAGTGGAATTGCATTTTTGTACATTATTTTGCCTTTAAAGTATCCTTTCATCCAGTTTCCTTTTGTCCTAGGTTGTGCTTTCACAATCTTCATTGCTTTGGTAGACCTGTGTCTGCCTATGTTGAGAGCAGTTGTTCAAGATGGATGAGCAATGAATATCAGTGTCGGAAGACAACAGAAACATTATACAGTCTGGATTGTCAATGATCTGAAGTCAAGTTGGTTTAGCAAATTCCAATATAAACTGTAGATTGTATTTTTCTTGTAGTGCTTTTTTAAGAGTGAGTAAACAAGACTTTGAGTAATGATAATAATGAAAGGAACAATCTTTTCTCCAAATGGGAAAGTGACAATAGAAAGGAGGTACAATGCTGGCAGGTGGTCCTTTATTGTATCCTCCTGGATACAATAAAGATAGGCAGATAGAGCTGAAGGGAAACAGCTCCTTGGACTGAACTGAGAATAGAATAGAAGCCTGGTCAAAACACTGTTGGGGCCTATGCGTATATAACAGAGGGAGGAAATCTCAAAGGGAAACCTGAGGTTTTCTTGAGCTAGGCAAATTGGGCCTTTATTTTTGTGAGCTTTTTTGTTTCCATAAGCTGCTAAAGACTAAAGGACAATCCTTGAGATTATCAAATAGCTTTTATTACAGACTTCCTCCCAATTTTAACAATGTTCTCTAAAGTTGGTTTTCTCATCCTCTATCAAAGGTCATATGTGTAGTAGCCGCTGAAGTTAAAATTAATATAACAATTGTTTTATTGAGATTTTTTTCCTTTCTCTTCCTCTCTTACATTTAAGCTGCATGAACAAACTTGTATATTTTTTCAAAATACTTGTTGACGAGGCCTGACAGCATTTACCTGAGGGGTGACAATAAGAGACATATGGCATGAAATAGTTTGAGAAATGTGGGCAAATTTATGAAGCTATTTAATATTTTGCTACATGAATCTACTTTTTAAAAAATGTTGTCTATTAAAATCTAAAATAACAGGCAGTTTGCAGTGGCTGACACCTGTAACCCCAGCAGTTTGAAAGGCCGAGGCAGGAGCATCATTTGAAGCCAGGAGTTCGAGATCAGCATGAACAAGATAGTGAGACCCTATCTCTATGAAAAAAAAAAAAACAAATTAGCAATGTGATCGCATGCCCGTAGTCTCAGCTACTGAGGCAGCTGAGGCAGGAGGATGGCTTGAGCCCATGAGTTTGAGGTTGCAGTGAGCTATGGTGATGCCACTGCACTCTAGCCCAGGCAATAGAGCAAGACTATGTCTCAAAAAAAAAAAAACTACATTAATAGAAAGCTTTTTTACTTATAGTATTTTACTTAGAAAAAAATATTCCTTAACCCTTTTCTGGGATAATTCTGAGATTTGAATTTAGATGCCTTAAGGAAGCATTTATCTTAGTTCTAATAATTAAATATATTAAGTTGCATATAATGGGTAAGATATTGTGAACTAAATTCTTGGGTGAATTGACTTGTATTTTATGTGGAATGCCTTTCATAGTAGCTCTATATTATAATCTGTAAAAATGTATTATGTAATTTATAATTAAGTTATTCATGTGTCCACCTAATATAATTTTAGTGAGCTCTACTGTATGCCAGATATTTTTGTTCTGCCTGTAGGACAGGGGCTGATTAGAAAAATATGTAATATAGACCTCAGGACCTTGTAATTTAGTGGCAAAGACAGACATATAGCCCACAATCTATTTCAAATTATTATGCAGTTGGTGTGTTAGAAAAATGGAAAACAGAGTACTATGAGACCACAAAGAAGGAAGAAATGAATCCCAACTGGGTTAATTTGTAAAGATTTCAGGCAGTAAGGGGCTTTTTATCTGAGCTGTGAAAATGGGTAGGAGTTGACTGAGCAGAGATATACAGAGGGAGAACGAGTAGGCACCAGCCAGGAAGTGGTGCATAACAGAGCCAAAGCCATAGCAATCACAGGGAATAGAGAGAACAGTAAGAAGTTCAAGATAACAGGAGGGTTTTATATGTATGTGATAGGAGTGGGGTATGTGGCTGGAAAGTTAGATTGGCCAAGTACATTTCATGCCAAAATAAAAAATATCAGTAAAATTAGCGCATGCTGGGGAGCCATTAAATTTGTTCTATTGTGAAGTCATGTAACAGAGAGCCTCAATTTACATAATTAAGAGGTTTATGATAATTGTATTATTCTCACAAAAATAAATGACTAGCCTAATAACTCAAAAATAGTAAATGACAAAGCCAGCAATAGAACTTAAATCTGATTCTCTGTCAGTTCAAATCTATCACAGTTACAAGTAAATTGTGCAAGTTTTCTTAAATATTAGACATTTTATTTTAGCTTGTATTTTTATCTTCCAAAGCAGGTTAAAAAAAAAAAAGATTGTTTGGAATGAATGCCAAAAATTATTTTAAAATGTACTGCTTCAGAGATATTCTCTAAAGTATTAATTTAAAGTTTTTGCACCTAATACTGCAATAGAAATACCTAATAATACTGACAAGGATGCTAAGAAAATAATAAAATCCACTTTAACTATTTTTAAAAGATCCCCAATTATATAGAAAGAAAAGTCATTTTTTTAAAGTGTGGAACTCAGAATCCAAAATAAGTTTCTGAAAGTTTCTTTAAACTACCAGTATGTATTTAGAATATATTTTCTATATTTTAAGTGTACTAATTTAAATCTTTATCTTTTAATATGCAAAAGGCAACATCCTTGATAAAATTGTACAACATATAGGGACATTCCATACACAAAGAAATCTAAACATATGGTTTAGGTTTAAATTTTATGTCGGAGTCAAAAATGCCCTAAAAAAAGGTATCCCTTAAAGTCTCTTATGCATTTCCATTTTTCTACAGAGTCTGTTACGTATATGTTTAAAAAATAATGAAAACCCCTCAACCTATTGCTTAGGGCTATTTATGTCACACTGAGAAGTCAAGTGAAGTACAGGTTTGAACCATGGATATTTGTCCCCTACTATGAAGTGGTCAGTATTATGAAAACTTCTATTATATTTTTATGATGCCATTTGACCTCTACATAGGTACTTTCATTATCTGACAATAAGATTCAATTTGCAAAACTAGCCCCAGTCATTTTAAAGTGCTCAGCATGCAGGAAAGCATGTGGTATTTTGTGTTGGTTTTTATAGAGGGCCTTGTAGTGACCAGACTGGTACCTTCCATTTTTCTCTTTTAACAGTTGGGCTGCTGATCTCACAAATCATATTTCAGTTGGAAATGAAAGGTGCACCGCTGCCAGCATTTTGTTAGAAATAATGACACACTTTACTACCTGTAAGTGCTGACTGAGTGCTTCTGCCTTTTCTTCCCAAGGTGACTATAACACAGATTGATGAAAGATTCTGCAGGACGACAAAGGTTAAAGATGCAGACCCGGAGCTAGAAGCCAGCACTGACACTGATGGAGTGGACTGCGATGAGAATGCCCACATTACTGTCCTATCCTCTGATAACCAATGCAATATGAAAACTGACTACAGAAGAAAGGAACAAATTAAATCCATTAATCAAGCATATCTCTGCTAAACAGTTGTTCTAAAGTGATGAACAAATGAAAAATTTACTGTTTGTTTTCATGCTTGCAAGGATTGGGGAAGAAAATTAATTATAAGGTACTGGCCACACTATTAGTTAAGTTTTTCTTGAGGAAACTATTGCTTTGTCAAAGGACAAATGAACCTCATTAGGGAGATTAGTTTCAGTTGGTAGTTTTGCATTAGGACAAACTAATAATACACACTTCAAAAGACACCCTGAGTAAAATTATGAAAATTGAAATCCATTTTTTACTTCTTAATTTACTAACTGTTCAAAAATGACCACTCTATTACCTATCATGAAACCAGAAGGAAATCGAACGCAGCCCCACCTTTTACCCAAGTGCCCGAAGGAGAACCATTTCAGTGTGTGCTTTGATGAGGAATTTATGTATACAGGGGTTATAACTTGGCCATGGCATTTTACTCTTATGTTGAAGCATGGCAAGCAGAGCTCCATGCCAAAAGCAATTTTTGATAAGCTTCTCTGAAATCCTTTTCTTTTCAAAATGTTTTAAGTGTCTTGCACAAACAGCAAGCTGACTGAATTTTCCCTAAATCTACACAGTGCAGGGTAGGAAAGGAAAATGCTACTTTGCTATCAATCCACTAAGGCCAGTGGACTGACATTCCTACCTGGGCCACCATGAGCGTGGTTCAGTTTCAAAGTTGATTTAATCCCTGTCCTTTCTGTCAAGACTGCTAAGAAGGGAGCCAATTACTGCTCTGGGGCAGGGGGAGTGCTAGGCTAAAGACACCTGTGTTCCAAAACCTGGAGTGAAACCAGACTCATTCCACGAAGTGTATAAGTCAGCTGTGAAATAGCAATGACTTTTTTGGATTCCACTGACCCAGGCTGGATTCAGACTGCTGACCCAGAAAGGAAAAGCTTCCTATATCCCATTGTCAATCTTGTGAGCCATTGAAGACATCCACAATCCAATCCTGACTTGCTTTTTTTTTCTTTTTTTAATAGCAGTCTTGCTCTTGTTTATGAGAATGCAAGCCAAATTGACATTAACTTACTGTCTTTATTTGGTTTGTTGGTTTAACTTCTCTAATTTAACATAGCTTTAGGGCCAAGGTGGTTGAATGAATCAGGTCAAAATGGCATCAAAGTTCACTGCTTCAGTCCCTAAGCTCTGTTCCTGAGAAATGATGGAGGTAGAGTTTTAAAATATTTTTATTCCAAAATTGAGTTTTTCTTTATATAGATTATCTCAAGATATAAAAAGGCAGCAATTGTTTTAAAGAAAATTGTGTGAGTGTATCGCATTGCTTCCTAATGGCTACCCTGTTGTCCTGGGGTGAGTGGAGACCCTCAGAATTAGCTAACGATTTTCTTATTCCAAAATAAATGTGCCAAGTTGAAAGAAGAATACAGTCTGTGTGGGGCTGGAAGGTTACACAATATTGAGGCCCTTTTAAAGAAAAATAATACAAATTTGCAAAGACTGAACCACATGTCCCAAAAGCAAACTTCAGGAGAAGAGCATGGGTACAATTAGATTATATGGGAAGTCAGTCCATAAGCATGGTGAGGAAGTAAAATACTGACATGGAGAAGGAATAAAGCCAATAAATGAGGGTCATAAACAATAGGGTCACCACTTTGAGCAACTGGGGTTCATTCTTGCTGTGTGGCCCCCTGGGAGACATTTTAGATCACACCTCAGAATGCTACACCGAGAGACAAGGAAGCCGGGGTATGTACCACTCCTATTCCTCATTGATGAAGATTGTTCCTGGGACTAGTAATTCTTCATCATTTCTGGCCTTCTCTGTGTTCATGCATTTCCATGGGCTGTACATACTTATGCAAGAGAAAGTATTAAGGAAGAGAAAAGTTTTAGGTGGAAGCCATGGGCATGTACCGAACTGTCCAGCAAAGTCTAAGCTGAGCTCCAGAAAAGCCTGAGGGTGGGGAGAAACTGGAAGGATGCTGATGGCTCCTTCTATGTTAGGTATAAAATTAAATATTTAATCGAATGATAAATCACAAATTTAAAAAAGATAACAAATATGGTCATTCCAGTGCTACTCAACAGGAAGGTAAGAATGACAGAGTATGACTTAAATGACTGGTGCTAAGCCATCTTACTGTTGCAATGGTAAGATAATAATAAATAATAATAATAATAATACCATATGAACACATTGCTAGAGTCTTTCTCAGTATCTCAGTAAGGGTTCTATATAAGGGAGGGCCCCTGAAACCTGGGCTTGAATAACTTCCTGGTAAATATCCCATGGCTGTTATTATTGCCTTATATGTATATTTCACAAATCAAGTTGAGCCCTAAGTATTTCTGAGCAATAATAATGAAAATTGGCAAAATAACTCAAAACATTCATGTTAACATATGCAAATATTTGTGACAACTTATAAACCATAATTTACAGACTGTTTTTTCATTCTAAGCACTACTGACATTTTGGGCTGGGAAATTTTGGGGGGGGGGGGAAATAGAGGTGCTGTCTTGTGCATTTTCAGATGTTCAGTAGCATCCCTGACCTGTACCCACTAGATGCCAGTAGCACATATTACCCAGTTGAAACAAATAAAAAAATTGTCTCCTGGACATTGACAAATGTTCCTGAGGTAAAAATTACCTCCAGTTAAGAACCACTGATTTAAAGGACAGGAAAAAATTGCAAAGTAGAGATTTGGAAAATAAAACATTTCTGGGGTCTTACTTTGTTCAGTTTATTTGCCACACAGCTTACATCCTACATCTCCTTCTATGGCACTATATGAATAAAAGAATGCTCTAATTAACTTTTTTTATATTCACACAAAAATATCATTTAGATATTGGGTGAGTGAAGAAATTTTCTGAGTCACTAAATCATAAAATATTGTTGAGGATAAAGAGAAATGAAGATCTTTTAAAGAGTTACCAAGTTATCGTAGATTATTTCATATTCAAAAAAGTAAGAAAATTTCCTGTTTTTAAATACTAGAAAATAACCCAAATATTATATTAATCATTTGACATTTTAAGGAAAGATTGTGTGTTTGGTACAATATTTAATATCTCTCTGGTACATGTAAAATTGTTTTATTTTAAGAAAAATTTATGATATATGATATGTATGTAAAAAGTATTTAATATGAGATATTAACTAATAAAAAATAGCCTTTTATTCTTGAAAACCATAGGTGATGGCAAAATTCCATTAAATTTAATTAACATTTAATAAACAACTGCCATATGCTATACACCTTTGCCAAGCTCTTAAGTGTAAGCACCTATAAATAAGATAAATTTTGCCCTCAAAATGGCTAATCAGGTACAAGAAGTAATACATATTCATAGGTAATTGTAACATAATTACAACTTTAATAAATGTAGCAAAATAGTACAAAAATAATGCTATTATTCACAAATAATATTCTGTGAATGAGTGATCCTAAGAGATATTAAAAGGTGACCACAAAGAAGTTCCATAGTTAAATAATTCTGGAAAAATGCTGGATAGCATGGTCCCCTCTTAGAGACAGCCACACTATCATAAAATAGGCTTCAGAGGTTTTTCAAGAGACATATCTGTAAAGTTTCTGTAACTCAACATTTTACAAAATGATTTGAACAATGAACAATTTTTTCACAAGATCAATATTTGATGGGCCATCAAATCAGGAAAACATGTATTAGAGAATTTAATTTCCACTGAAAGATAAGAACAAGCATAACAGAGAAAGTACACTTTGCAGTGAATATTATAAGATGAGGAAAATTTTCCCACAGAGGAATAAGGATGGAGACCACTGCAGGTATAGGAAATACCAAGATTAGAAAATGCAGATCATATATGGATACAGCCTGACTGAGGTCCCAATGCATATGGGAGGCTGTTTCAGCAAAGCTAAAATTTCATCTCAGCAGTGCAGAGCAAATGCTTCTGAAATTTTAGATTGAGGTTAGTAAATTTCAGGCTAGGTTATCTGGACTTTATTATGTGTCATGGAGTTAGAACCACACAATTATAATAGCAGTTTAATATTGGAGGGTGGAAAATTAAATCCAATAAACCAAAGTAAGAGGCAAGTTAAATAGTCCAAATAAGAATGACCAGCATTTATTCTAGAACCATGTGGTCGAAAATGTGAACAAGTGCACAGTTCTAACCAGAGTCCCCACTGGCTTCTTCCTTTAGACTTAAAGAGCATGTTCCTTAGCCTGTTACTTGTTTTTCTTTACAAACTGGCCTCATTTTGCTTATTTAGTAGCTACTATTCTCAGTTTATCTCAAACGTCCCTCTTCTATACTCCAACCTAATGGAACAATTTGCTCTTCAAATAGTTTCATCTACAAATCAGAAAGAAAAGTAGGAATCACATCAGGGACAGGAAGAAAGCACAAGCATGGCTTTCCAGAAGAGGCAATACTTGAACCATGTTACAAGAGTGAGCTGGTCACAGACAGAGGCAGGACAGTCCAGGGAGAAAAGACAAAGAGCTACAAAATAGCACGATTCCAAATGGTTCAGTTTGACTGGGTAAGAGGGTATGCTTTTTAACTGTAAAATGTATTATTCTTTCCGAGGAAGTCAACCATAGGTGAAATAAAAAACACTTAAATGTCAAAAAACAAAAAAAGAAAATTAGGAGTAAAGATGTAGATCTGGAAGTAGTCCACAAGACATGGTAAATCATTTATGTTAAACAAATCAGTTATGTTGAATAAAATGACTTTCCAAAAAGTTACCCACAAAACACATCTGATTATACTCTGATGCTTATTTATAATAATAATAACAGATAAGGGATTTATGGGAATTTATTTAAAGTTCAGGTCCTTGTTCTATGACTAGCTTTGTGAATTTCACTGATCATCAAACTATAAAACCTGTTTGGCTTAGGAAAGGACTTTACTCTTCTATGCCAAAGTTTCCTCAAATCCTAAAGGGATGTGATCATAGAATTTACCTCCAGAGTGCTCATGAGGATTAAATAAATAATCTAAATAATGTTCTCACTGCAAGTTTTGGCATACTATAAGCATTCAAAAAATCATAGATCTTATTATTATTAAAATATTAATATATATTGCCTGAGCATCACTACTTTCATCTAGAAAATGGGGCTATTATTGCATTGAACTCTTCACAGAAGTATTATGAATCTCAAATGATCTGTTCTACATAAAAGTGCTTTTTACTTTCTAAAGTACTAAGTGGAAAATATTATGAGTTTGATTAGAGATGTACTTCTATCTACAGTTGTTCGATGAATCAAACTGTTTTACTCTTCTGCCCTAATTAGTTTGGATTATTTGGCATGGAAGTTAGATTTGCAACT